TCCTTCACTCAAAATTATATAGTCCATACTCTATCTACTAGAGGAAGAGTCAAACAGATACAAAGCTCAAATGCTCTAAAGCCAACACCACAATCAACTCCTTGACAATGAACTAACGAAGCCCCTCAAAAAAATGAATAGAAAAGAACAATACTTTGACAACAAGCTACCACAACACAACAGCATATCAAAGAGCATTGGAATGCCCTCAAAACCCACACATGACAAGCAATTGAAGAGCAATATCAGCAAGTCCTCTTGAAGAGAGATTCTATGGCCTTGGTTAACACAACCGTAGAATTGAGCGGTTAGGTAAGAGTAGGGAGTTCTCTAAAGACTGAATCTCAAACTAAGAGGCATTTGTACACGGATGTCTTCAATATAGGCAAAAAATTGCACATAGCATACAAGTTATTCTCCATTGCTTTCTTCCCCAATATAGTAGCATTTCCCCTTTTAGTTCTTTTATTTAACTATTGTATTCTACATAGTGGATTAAGTAACTTGCATCCAATATGGGAGGGTTTTGTTTGAGCTAAGAAGAGAGGACAATTAACTTTCTCTTACAAAGCTGTACACTTAAAAATGAGAAATCTATTACCCTTTAGTAACCAAATATCTGCATTTCATCAATACTAATGCCAATGCCGCAAATAACAGAACCCTAATCACATTATGGTGACGTAATTGAATCAAAGAAATTAACAAATTTCATGATTCGGAATATAGAAACTGTGAGAAGAAAGAGAGAAATTGACGAACCAAGAGCCTGGCAAGCTTCATGAACGCGGTGAGGCGGCCACTGGAGGTTGAGAGGGAGTTCGAGGAGTTTATACCAGAAATCGGAGGAGATAGGAAACGACTCGTCGCCGATGAAAGTAGAGATCAGGTACTCCGCCGTGTCCAGTGGACGCGCGGCGGAGCTGCTGCCACCCCAGCGCGGTGTAGAAGGTACGGCTCCCATTCCCAAAAACGAAAAATGCAGAAGAGTCGTTCGAATGTGCCGAGTGAACGACGCAAATTACAAGGGCTCTGATCAGAGGCCTGGCGAGGCGATCTCCGAGGTGCAATTGGTTGACGTCGTCAATGTCAATGGCATTACAGAGAGAGGTTGGGGTTTTGGATCTTCGATGGAGATTGAAATTGAGATTTGAGGTGTGCTGTGGTGAAGAAGACGAAGAAAGAAAGGGAAGCTTGCAGACGAAGGTGTGTTTTTAGCACTTTCCAGAGAGAAAGACAAGGACTGCACCAAGAGGTACTAAAACGACAATGCGTCATCCCCAGTTTCATTACTAATTTAATTCCCATTTTTACCCTCCGTACTTATAATTTTCCTTCAAATGTTTGTAGCCAATGAAATTACAATTTTCTCTTTGTCAATCCAAGAGAGGTCAAACTAGCCCAATCCGATTTTCCCATTTCTTTTTTAATTGCCTTCTTCTATTTTTCATAAAGGCTTTAGAAGAAAATTCAAGCAGTCGACAGCAATGGCATTTTAGTCTTTCCACACCTTCGTTCTTTTGGGGTAAAAAGTCTTTGAATTCCAGGCATGCTGATTGGCTACAGTGTTATGCAATCCGTCGGCAAAGAGCCACGTTGGGGGGGTTTAGGCAATATTTTGTCCAAAACCATGACTTCATTTTAAAGTCTTTCTCTGTCATTAATTAATTAATTAAGGTGAACAATCCAATGGCAACCCATGTCTTCAGCACGACGTTTTACGCGCTTGTGAGTGCGAGTTCCCTAATCTCGTTGTGATTAAGCCTAAACTTGATTGGGTGCGGAACGTGCCACCAGATTAATGTGCACCATTGGTTCCATCACCAATGACTTGGGAGATCCAAGATTATTAATCATTCATACTTCATATTAGGTTGGATCAGTTTGATGGTAATTGAACTTTGTCCAATGTTTAATTACGTGTGTGGTCAACAACTTCAGGATATCAAATTCGCTAACCACGGATTCCTAACAAGATTTGCAATTGTCTCTATTCCTCATAATTGATACCCATATCATGGGACAACGTTGTTTTAAAAAAAATATCTCGAATAAGCGGATATGGTATGAAGTGCCCTGAGCAAATAAGCAGAGCCATGTCGGAAAAGAAAAATACTTGGATCAGTTACTTAATATGTTCAAAAAATGATTTATTACTCATCATCTTGATGTTAATTGATGATCAAGAATCAAGGATGTTTTGAAAGGTTTGATCAGTGGGTGCGTACTAGTAGCGTAGTGTAGTAGGCAGGGTAGGATATTGATTCATGGATAGACGTTGGGCTGTCGGTGGCTGAGGATGAGCTTTCTAGGATGAGGTCATGATAGGGACCCAGTTTTGGTTTTAGTCCATGTTTAGAAAAAGACTTGTTTATCAAAACTGCCGTTGGGTTTCAAGTTCAAGTTTGAATTTGCCAATGTCTCACACGACCCACGACCAATGGAAAATGAAATATCAACGCTAAAGCAACCAATTATAAGGTTAATAAGACCAAACTACAAACAAACAGCACATTATTATAATTTATGCCTCTTCAAAATGAATATTTCTTGAATTTATATTTTCATTGCTTTGTTTAATATTTTGAAAAGCGTTTCAAAATATATATTTTTCCTTTAAGTGAATTTGAGCTTGTTCGGGAGTGATTCTCTGTAATCACTTGTGGAGAGTAATTGCAAAGAAGCTTCTATAATAATAAAAAATTATTAACTTATTCAAAACCATTCCTAAACAAGTTCAATAGATTTATAAAGTTGTTTGTGCTTTTGGTTTTCAATGGATCCAATCTTCAACCTTTTTTTTCACAATTTTGACACTTTCACTCTATTATAATATAAAGGTAGTATTTTTTTCTACTTATTTCCAGTAGTTTTATATAATATTGCCAAATTTTTTTAGGCAATTTTCAACTCCACCAATCTGGAGTGGAGCCTAACATCCATTGAAATTCAACAGAAAGTGCCAAAATTGTGGCACTAATTGTCAATGTCAATCCCCAAATATTAGAGTTTTGGGTATCTTGACCCAAAATCCCACCTGGCCAAATAGTTGGGCTTCACCCAACTTTTGAGTTCAAACTTACTCTTATTCGACCCAAAAAAAAAAACCACTTACCCTTCATTGCTAGCTCTCCAGAGACCAGAACAGCCCATACAATTTCCCCCAAAATATGTTCATAATATCAATATATAGTTTCCAAGATTTTTTTAAAAAAATACCAACGATAGTCTAAATTAATCTAATTTATAAGACAGGTGATTTGAACGTAAGTGCAAGGAGGCGCGAACTCATTGCTCTTACCAACTGGCATAACCCACATCAACTATTTTTTTTATTTTTAGATTTGAAAGAATCATGACATTCCCATGTATGATCCTACTCCAGATCCAGAACCATTCATGCCACCATCTAGGGCTCCGGCTGATAATGATTTATTGTGCCACCTTTCATATTAAACGGTATGCACAAAGAGTTATGGGCCTGCATGCTCTGTCTGTTTGTCAGCCTTTCCATATATATTTTATTTTCCAGAAAATGACATGTTAATTAATGCCTTTCGGGAATTGTCCAGTGTGGTGGTTCCATATTCAAATCATAATCATGTCTCAAAAGTACAAAAAAAGAATTCACTTTAATTAGATATCACATGAATGACATGCCAAAGTTGTGGTTAGGGTTACTTCCAATCAAGGGCATATAGACTATCGACTGTAGGATATGTGGGAAATTCCTCAGTTATGTTTCCAAAGGCCATGCAACAAGGAAAAGCTATGTAAGTTTGGACCTCTTTCATTGTCAACCAAAAAGACAAAACACTTTTTCATAGAGCTAAACATATTTTAGCTCTCAAAAACCCATTTTCATAACATGAATTGAATTTGCTCAAAGTAGTGTTGAATTCATGAATTTTTCTTACCAAAAACAACATGAAGCCCACACGCGACCTTCCCCAGAGACCTTTGGCTCCATGCCCCGCCTCGGCCTCTTTCAGACATTTTGTCAAACATCTTTTCTCAAATATCAGCCATACTTAAAAGGATAACATGAAAAGAGCATTGGAAAATTTTTTATGTTTAGCAACAGTGGGCAATAAGGGCAGTTGCATTCACGGGCCCTGCTGCGGAAATCCAAATTTGAATCCTTCTTTGCTATATGTTAAAGCAGTAAATTTGACTACTCCCTACATAATGTCAGCTAAACTGCTCATGCACAGCATGTGCAACCTTATCGCTTGAGGCAGACAATTGCAGCTCTGTGTTCCAACTCAATTGCAGATATGGTGCACCATAAAATTCTCTGTCATTTAAAGGAAGCTAATACTCCAACTTTTTCATTTTTGTATTTTTTATTTTACCTTTGGCAGGTAAAGAGAAAAAGAAGTGTAAAACACCAATTTTCTGCCCTATTGATGTTTGCATTTGCACAAATCAACTAACAGCTTACACAAACATGTCATGCACCCTCTCTTGATGCATTTCAAGATGCAAGTAAGAGATTTCAAGCTTTTAATCATTTTGGTGAGACCACCACCTTCATGGAATGATTCAATGACAAATTATATTCCAGAAGAGAAAAAACATAGCAAAAGGGTTCTAGATCACTGATGTTAACAGTCAGTTACAAATTAAGCAGAACATGATCTCAAGGGTGCAATCTCCAACTGGATTTTAAGGTCATGAATGTCAAGATTAATGATCTATCAGATAAATACATACCTTTAATTTCCTACCACTGGCAGGAACACAATTAGACTGTGGACAAGAAAGGAAATTAGAGCAGTTCTAAAAGCAAACCCGGAAATTTAAGAGATCCTAAAAGTACCATCACTGAAGGAAAATCCCAGAACCTAACCAGTTTGCATTGGAATATTGTTTTCTGTTTTGCTTCATCAGTGTAATTTATCAGTGTTAAAGTGTTGCCATTCACTCTTCAATTCCAATTAAGAAACCATTTAGGAACTTCAAGATTTTTTGAATGATGAGCGTCTCCTACCGAACTTCTTGAAGAAAACATTTATGAAAGCTCCTTATCTTCTTTACTTGGGACTGGAGGCCAAGTAAACAAGCTCCTCGACGAACACATCGACATCCTCATCTTCTTCTTGACCACCTAGCATCCCAATTTCTTCATCAATACTCTCATTCAACAATTCGTGCCAGAAACTGTTACCCGGGTCTTTGCTTCCACTTTCATTTCCCTCTTCCTTCTCCATACATTCTTCCTCATCATGAACATTTTGGCTTCCAGTTATACCCTGCATGTCAATAGCAAATGTGTCCAACTCCGGATTTTCAAAATGATCAGATATGTCATCGTATTCCTGAGGTTCAACTTTAACAAAAGTTTCTACTCCAACTTGGCCTAATTCATCCACCTCAAAACTACTAGGCCCTTGCTCAATAGGCCGCCTTCTCTTCTTACTAATTGCTTCCTCGAGTTCATTCCTTTTGTCCTTCTGTTGTGCCAATTGTTGTACAAAGTTGGGATTCTGCATTGCTCTTGCCAAGAAATTCCTCAGATGTTGCTGTTTCATCTCTGTCCTCTTCAGTCTATTTTCCATTCCGTGGAGGTAAACTCTAGTAGTTTGCTGCTGTTGTCTAAGCTTCACTAGTTCCCCCATTAAAACCTGTTTATCACGCCTCAGCTGGTCAATCTCTCCATCCAATCCAAACTTTCCAACTTCAACACAAGAGTCCAAAGCTTTCTGTGAAGCCTGAGGATGGTAAGATGTCTTCCTCCTCCGGATATTCTTCAAAAGATGTTTTTGCCCTCTGAGAAACCCTTGATTAGCGAACTCCCATCTATCTGTATCAACCTTTCTAAATCCCTACATTAATTAAATAACTTCTTCTTGATCAAATCCATAAAAAGGCTGCGTCTACTAATTTTTTTAGTTTGCATCAGATCACCCCTAAGAAGCTTTGAAGTTGACAAATCCAACAGAACGAAAAACAAGAACAAAAACCAAACAAAAACTGACCCTATCTCTGCAATAGTATCATGCATATTTTATACATTGGTTTCTGCACTTTTCCTTTTGAAGCCATTTAACAAACAATATGTCCACATTAAGTAACCCCTTAAACAAATACACAAAAAAGGACCTGATTAAACAAAGACAGAAAAGATTAAAAAAATGACACATTTCTATCTGTTTCATGAGCATGAATGTACAAAGTAGTCAAACCCAAAAGAACCCCACAGATATATCATAGATTTGAATACAATATCCAAATTGAAAAGAACAACATGACAATTTCTTTGAAAAAAAATCATATAAATGAGCAATTAGGACAGCCTAGAAAGTCATGCTTACATAGGTGTTGAGCTGCCTGACGAAGCTAGAGAAATTGTTGTGCTTGAAGTATCTGGGGAGAAGTCTCATGGAAAATTTCTGGGGATCCAACACAACAAAGCTATTGTTGTCTCTGCTCCAAGAAACTATATCATTGGTTGTTGGGTCATCAACGATGTCATAAGTTTTGGTGAGAAATGGTGGGGGGCCTTGGTCATAAAGTTTCTCCATTGGCAGAGGATGATCAGGTGCCGCACCTGAAGACGACAAACTTACTGGGTCTTGATCAGAATTCATTGTTCAATTAATGGTAAACTCTGATGGATGATTAGTGATCTGGGTTGATAATACTTATTGGGTTTGTTTGTTCAAATGGGTTTTAGGAATGCAGTAGACGAATTATTAAAAGCACAGAGGAATGGTAAGGTAGTGTTAGAGAGAGCAGAGCATAGACAGGGATGGTTGGTTGTGTTTGTGAGAGAGAGAAGCTCTGGCTGCCATGGAGGCCAAGAAGGCCAAGAGAGTGCAGAGCTGAGGAACAGGAGGCTGCAGGGGTTTTCTTTTTCCTCTATTTGTTTTTTTTTTTTCTCAGACAGAAGGCAACTGGGGGTACCTACCAACAATTTATAAATCGCGGGTAGCTCCTTTTCTTTCAAAAGCAAAAATAAAAAATGGTTTTTCTTCTTTTTTCCTTTTTGGCCAGACAAGATTTGTTCGATTGGATGGGAAACAAAGATGACACAATAGAATACAAGCACATTTTCTTTTCTTCAAAATGTTTTCCTAATCCTCTCAATTTGAAGGAGTTTGAAACAAATATTAAAGAAAAAGTTAGATTGTGAAGCTTTTTTCAAAACGAAGATGGCAATGATGATATATTTTTCTCTCTCCGAAGCCCTAATGTCGTTTCTCCTTTTGGAAACCCACTTGGCACATTAGGTTTTCATCACAGTCAGTCATGGCAAAGAGAGTTTTAGAGTGAGACACTAGAGACTCTTTAGTAAAGAGACCTACAAAAACATTTAAATAAACTAAAGAACTTATCTAATAATAATTGTGTTGTACTTTATGATCGTTGAAAACCAGAAGCTTGTAGAGCCATCATCTTAATAAAAAAATGGGAGTTTAGACAGTACTTTATTGGATAGGTGGGTATGGGTGCGGGTGGTACCCAGCGTACATCGAGACCATTCTTACTTAGAGGTGAATTAAAAATTGCTTAAGCATGCGTGGTTGATTTATAACCATTAATATATATGATCGAAATGAAACTCACATGCATCATCGAATAATCTTAATTATGTGCTTAAGTCGATTCACGCTAGCACTTTCCATTCTTTAAAGTTGAAGGTTGTGAAAATAAACAAATATCTTAGAAGTTAAATTATTATTAAATGCATAAATCAGATCAACTTGCATTATATTGTTGTCACACTAATGATCTACTGTCCCATTTAATTCATGGAAAAGAAGACTTAGGGATGAGAAATCAATTGTTTTTCCATGTTTGATAAATCTAGGTACAGGAAACTGTTGCCTTGCACATGGAAAAATATGGGAGAAAGTGAAGCCCTCCTCTCTCCATGGGTTTTGTTTTCGTCATCATGATAAAATTTAGGAAAATGAGCCAACATTAAATACATATTTTTAATGTCTATATTGTCCCCATTAGCAATTTAGAATTACAATATAGCATTAAATACATTCTTTTTTATTTGATTTCATATTAGTATAATTAAAAAATTAAACAAACTTTGTTTTACATTCCTAAACAAACCAAACGTATGAAACTTAACTAAACAAATGATAACATATAATGAGTGGTTCCACTACAAATTGCATCAAGACTTTTTGTGATAAAATATCACACATATTGGGCTTTGTAAGTTGGGTAAATTATCAGTAGTGTGCCACTGATTTGTCTTTGTGAAATTCAACAGAGGTGAACTTACACACGAAGTTGGGTGAATTCATGAACAACAAGCTCACTGTGATGCTAGCTGGAATCTAAAACTTTTCAAGTTCCTGTAATTGTCCCTTAACGAAGTGCCAAAATGCCACACCCGTGTCATTAATTGGGTTGAAGAGAAGGTGAAATCAAGGCTGTGCGGCTTGGAATTTTTGCTAAAGGTGAAAATTATTCACCTAAAAACACAATCAACAGTGTAGGATACCAAATTCTGATTTAACACCAACGAATGCATATAATATTATTTTAAGAGGGCACTTAAGATGAATGTAGAAGTGCAGCGAATATATCCGACAAAATATATTTTCAAAATCAAATGAGAGGTGAAAAGAGTGATTAATTAGGGGGTCCAATCCAAATCTAGCTTTAGTAAGAATAAGATTTTTTATATAAATTATTGCACCAGGATCCCATGACCATAATGAGATCGGGTTCTTTGTCAAACACTTAAATCCAAGCAAATGAAAGATGAACACTTTGAAAGTTTCGTTTAGAAGTGATTTTGAATAAACCAGAATCATTTATGAAGAGAACTCATAATTGACGACCATTAGACTGTGTACTGAGTCATGATCGGTTTGTATCAATTTGAATTCGTCCCAAGTATTAACCAACTCTAACACAACTTTCTTGTCTTTTTGTTTTATGGACACGAATGAGAATTTAAATTCTTCGAATATTAGAAAAATAAAATAAAAAAAAGCACTAACTTCACTCATAATTGACAACTTGGATGAAGCGTTTGGATTAACGTCGATTATTAAAAACCTAATCTGTTTAATTTATTCAAAAGGCTAAAACTCTTTTTTTTTTTTTTTGGTTAAAAAAAAAGCTAAAACTTTCTGGTCCTCTGGTTTGTTATTGTTTAAACTTTAAACAAAAGAAAGAATAGACGGTTAGAATGCAACAGCCCAACCGGCCAATCTAAACCAACTAAACTTTAAAGTCGGCCCAGACTAAGAAGTTTATGCCTGGGCAAAAGGCAAGGCTGGAAGCACAATAACTCACAATATAACATAGTAGAATTACGTATTCTTCGTTTTTACGAAGCTAGGCATCAATATATAAAGATCATTCGGTAAAGATTATTCGGAATTTATTCGAGTCACGCAAGGCCAAGCTACTAATAAACAAAGCATTACATAACACTACGGAGCCACCGGTGCATCCCAGATGATACAAGCATACATATATATTTATCATAGCCAAAACAGTCACTTCATTATTTGTAAATCCCAGTTTTAGAAGCAAGAGCCAGATTTCATGCTGCAGCATCAACTGCATGGTCACCAGTTTCCTTATGCACAAAAGCTTTAACATACTCCTGCCTGCAAGAAGGGCTCCTTGTAAGAAGAGACTCAAAGCCTATCCAACATTGTATTGTCTGCATGTATACAAGGGATGCCGGCAATTTAAAGAAAGAGAGAATCAAACCTTGCAGGAAGATGGTCATGAGGGCGGTTAAAGGGAGTCCAAACTGGATCACCGACAAAGAGTCGCATTGCCTGCATTGAACACAAATCTTTTAGAACCACTTTTGATTTGAAGATATAAAACACTGTAAGGACCATTGTGGGACTTCTTAATCGACATTAATTCACGGTCACAAATGTCAAAAATAAGTCCAGTCCAGGTCTACACATTCACCATCATCCCACAATAAAATACTTTTAAAAAAGTCAGTGCCAGATTATGTAGAAGTGTGTATTCATTTGAGTATAAAAGCATAACTAGATGGAGAAGGGGGGAAACAAACAGTGGGCATCACAACATTTCACACATTGAACCATTACCTTTATGTAGTTGTCTGTGTCCAAAGTAAAGCGGTGATAAATTCCAGCAGGCAAAACAATCAACCCACCCTTTTTCAACCACACACGAATCCAACGTTCATTACGGTCCCTAACATCAAAATAGCCTTCACAAAAGAAGTACACAATCACTAATCTGAACAGGTAAATAAAAATGAGACAATAAATTTGGATAAAGCATAACTAATCCTACCACTTCCTGCCACAACATAGCGGATCTCCTCATCAGTGTGAAGATGTTCCTCAAAGAAACTTTTTATCTTCTCTTCATAATTAGGCAGCTTTTCAGGGGAAACCTCACAGAAGTCCTAGGTGAGGAAAACATTATCAAGTTAAACATAAAGTGTATTACTGTGCACAGAGACTTGTTGTGAATTTGCATATTCACAGTTACTATAATCTGATTATTAGTATTCAAATTATAAACAAGAAGGGGAAAAAAGACCAAACACATTTCAAAGTGTACGTTCAACAGGAGTCAAAAAATTTAATAGTTAATACGGAACAATTTCTTTCACATCATATTGGCAATCAATGGGCAAAACTTGGCATGGTTGTGATACATTGCCTTGAAATAAGGGAAGTAGAAAGTTTAGGTAGAAGACGACACAAAGCAAATAAAAAGTTAAAAATAAGTTAGTGTGACCAACCATGTAGGAGTAACCACGTTCTTCACGAATTTTCTTCAACTCCTCATCTGTTTCATAGTTATCAGCATCTAAACGCCAGCTGAGAACTCCAAGCTCTGCAAGGTCAACACAAATGCTCCCAAAAAGTTAAATGGTGGAATGACTATCATCATCCTTATCTTTGTCCCAACCAAGAAGATCAACTAGATGAATAGAGATATTCCATTGTTTTCCATTATATACAATATCTCCTATTAAACGTAAGTTTTAAAAATCTTTCTTGTTACTTCTTCCTAGATTAGTCTTTGGCCAGCTTCTTGTATTTTAACTTTTACATTGACTAGTATTATTGGTTAAAATACATCTACTGGTCTACTTAGTATTTATTCATATCACCTTAAGCCCAGTTTATCTTAACTTATCCCTAACAGATGTCACTCCCGCGGTTTCTCTAATGCATTGATTCTTCAAAAAATAAAACATTCATAATCAAGTAAAACTATTTTGTCTTCCTGAAAATGCTCACCAGTAAGTTGGTCTAGGGATACAAATTCCTTGGGCTCACGGTGATGGGGGAGCCTCTGGTCTTCATCACTGTCATCCATGTACCATGCTTGGATGACTTCCTCTCTTGGATCCTGCATATGTTAACACTATGAGATACCCTGATCACAAAAATCCCTGTAATTTTTTATTCCCACAAACAAAACAAGAATGAACCAAACAGAGTTTCCAAAAATCTAACAATGAAAATCCCAAAAATCCATCGCTGCAAGCACAGCCATAGCCAAATTCCAGTATCTAGCTGCCTTATCATCATTACTTTAGTTCAGCCAAATTATCTTGAAGCAATATTTAATTCGCACAACTTATCATGTAAAACTAATTAGCAGTAACACAAAATTAAATGCAAGCTACTGCTGGAATCACCTTAACCACCAAAATTGAGCAATCAAACCATAAAATTCATACATAACAATTAACAAGCAAAGCAAGTTCTGATGATGCACCAAGCTTGAAAACTTCAAACACAATCCACAAATCATAAATTCTAAGAAAACATGATGTTGAGACAAAGAGAATAGTATTCAGAAAAGCTTCAATAGAAGAAGGGGGAAACACATAAATTTTCTCTCTGCTTGCAATATGAAAATTTTCTCAGGAAAAA